CACACTGGGATTAGATCTTCTGAAACACCACACACTGGGATTAGATCATCTAAAACGCCCCACACTGTGATTAGATCATCTCAAACACCACACACAGGGATTAAATAATCTCAAACACCACAATGGGATTATACTTCTGACTGGCTCAAGTCTGGCTGAACTGTTAGTCTAAAGTCTGTAAAGAATTTACAGAGATGCAGCTTCGGATGTTGAACATGTATTAATGTTTAACAGAGTGATAAAAGAATCCTTCGGCCTGACTGAACCAGAGCTTCAGGAAGTGAAGATAAACACAAACAGACATTTGAGCTGGTTCACATAACCAGGATTAAAATCAGTTTCCTGATCCGACTTTCATTCGTTGGAAAAAACAAACAGTGTGAGCTGAATGAAGAGCTGATGCTCAGTCATATGAAGATTATTTTTAATCTCAATGTTTTTTACTTTTGATACTTTAGTCAATGAACTGGTAAAGTTCAGTCTTTCTGCTTCATATTTTGATTTTTACTTTAAAGAACAGCTGATTACCTCAAAGGACATTAGTCAGAATAGTAAGAAAAATATTTTGGGTAATTAATAATTGTGGCATTTTGAAAGAGGAATAATTATTGAATAAATCTTCATTCATGCTGATTTTCAAGACATTTTGTTTTTCAGGTGAACTTATTTTAACATCAACCTTTGTTAATATTCCAGTGAGTTGGGTGATTCACACACGTTTCTCAGCTAAAGCTTTAGACGTTTATTAAAAGTTTTAATGTCAGAAAGTTAAACTGATGTTTGTGCTCAGAAATAAAATAATTTAGTTTTAGAATAAAAGTGTGAAGAACCAACAGTCATACTGAACTTTGTAGGTTTCTCTTGACCAGCAGAGAGGAAACTCTTCCAGGTTTTACTTCCTGTTCTGGTTTTAGTTCTTGTGGGTGAAGACAGGACATATTTTGTTTTGGGTCTGAATGATGGAAACCAGTCTGGTTCCAGATGGTTTCCATCATAAAGTCTTACCAGTGAAGATGTAGAGGTCAGTATGGGGATCTTTCTTCAGCCGGGGCCACAGCGTCACCCTGTAGTTCAATGGTACCAGGCTCTTGGGCAGCCGGTATTGGTCCCACGATTGGTTGGATGGGGCAGGGGTGGTGGTGGGGTTGGCGGTGGTTCCTCCTGCAGTTGGTGGGACCTGGAGGTTTTTGGACCGTTCCTGGGAGTAAACGACAGACAGAGCGATGATGGTGGACAAGGCAGCCACACAAACGAAGATCCCTCCGATGCCCACAGCTTTACTGATGTAGAACCCGGTCCCCATGCTGCCTGCCTGCTCCAACTCTGACAACCTGCGGAGTAAAGCTGGTTATGAAGGTGCGAAGGTTTCTGCCCCCATCAGGGCTGCAGGTGACACATTAACAGTGAGGCTGGGAACACCCACCTACCTGAGCTGTGGAGCTCACAGCCACAACATAAACCTTTTTAATTGTTCTTTATTGAACTCATAATCTTTCTGTACTTTAAACTAATATGGATAGATTGTAAGAATAAAATAAAAAAAAGTAAACAATGGCTTGAACATAAACATCATTAAAGAAATGCATGAATGAAAACATACGTTTTTTTCTAACATCCTTCCCAAAAAAGAGAGAACGAACAAACAAAACAAAAAGAGCAGACCCCCTCCTCTCTAAATCTGAGATTTTGTCTATAAAGACCACAAGCAGGACCAGAGACCAGGAGCAACCCTGATGGACTCCAAACCTACACCAAGAATCCAGCTTGGTTTTGGAGCTGAGGAAGTTCCGTTATTGTCCCTCAGCACCCCAGCTCAAACCCCCAGACCCACAAACACATGTAATCTGGAGACTTCAACAGCTCAGAAAGTGATGCAGGAAGTGGGTCACCTGCATCATGAAGGACCCCACTCACCCAGCACACACACGTTTTGCCCTGCTCCATTCAGGAAGGAGGTTAAGGAGCATTAAGTGTAGAACCACTAGACTGAGGAACAGCTTCTACCCTGAAGCTGTTAGACTCGTGAATCTCTAACAACTGCGAAAAATCACATCATGTTGCTGCTGATCTGTTTCATGTTGCTGCTGATCTGTTTCATGTTGCTGCTGATCTGTTTCATGTTGCTGCTGATCTGTTTCATGTTGCTGTGTTCATTCGTGCTCATCTGCTCACACAGACTCATGTTTGTGCTGCTGTTTGGTGTATTGTTTTTGTACTGTTAGTGCTTAGTGTATTTTTAGTTAACATTTTTCTTGGTTCATATCTTAACTCTTATTACTGTTTTTCTTTTACATTTTATTGTTGGATGTAACTGGGACCCTGTGTGCAAAATTTCGTGTGTACGACAAATACAGAAACTCTGACTCTGACTTTCTAAAAGAGTAAAGCTCTGGTCCACAATCCAAACTAAAGTCACAGTACTCCTCCTGAAGCTGAGGGTCAACAAAAACACTAAGGAGCCCTGCATCAAATATTCATATTCAGAGTTCACAGCATCACTGATGTATTCAAGAATTAGTACTTTTGGTACATTTTGGCAGTCAAAGTTTCTGTCAAATAAAACCTAAAATACTGACAGGAATGCTGGCATGTTTGGTTTTGTCTTGGAAGAGCTGGACTTTAGTCGTGGACTGATGGTTTGACTCAGCAAAAGCCCTGAAGACTGCAGTTCACTGAACTTCCTGAGACAATATGTAACTTTAAAACACGTGTTGAGGTTTTCTGAGTGATCTGAATGTGATGTGCGCTATGGTCAAAAGTTCACGCATGAATAAACTATTATAAAGCACAACATGTTCAGCTTCAGATTTTGGCGTTTGGGAACAGAACATCTTTACTGTCCTTCGCAGGTTAATTTCTTCCAGTTATGACACCAGAGTTAATAGATAGTGAGTGTGAAGAGAAAATATTTACGAGTCTATAAAATGTGGCTGTGATGCTGCGAGTGGCCTTGATGTTATCATCGCCAAACTCTGATAAAAGTCTTCCTGACTCTGATTATCGAACCATCGGAAAGAATAGAGTTCAGAGTGTTGCAAAGAAGAAACTTCAAATGGACAGAAATGCTTTGTCGTTTTCTAATAACAGATTGCAAAATTTAGTGAAGCAAAACTTGAATTTGGCTGCCTAAAAACAAAGTCTGATAAATGCATCAGTTTCTTAAAACAAATAAAGGATAACTTGAGCGCAAATTAAAACAGACAAACAAACAGAACCTGTTGGTTATGATTGATAACCAGGTTGTCTTTGGCTCTGGGAAGGAAGATGCCTTTTATATAACATCTTTTTAATAGTTTTATTCAAAGTGAAAATGCATATTTGTTATCCCTAGAGAGGCACTCATGGGAAATCCTTATCAGATGCCGAGCCACCTTAAATGGCGCCTTCCTCCTTTTGCGGAGTAGCAGCTCTACTCTGAGTCTCTCTCGAATAACTGAAAAATGTGAAGTTCAGTTATCTGGGAGGGACCTCCATACTGCAAGGGCTGCACCGATCCATCTGTTGACCTCACGCTACATTCTTCCCTCATTCGCTAACAAAACCCCAAGGTACTTGAATCCTCCACTTGAGGCAGAGCTTCACCTCCAACCCAGAGAGAACAGTCCACCCCATTCCAACTGAGGACCATGGCCTCAGATTTGGAGGTGCTGATCCTCATTCCAGCTGCTTCACATTTAGCTGCAAAACATTCCAGTGAGAGTTGAAGATCATGGCACAATGATGGCAACAGGACCACATCATGTACAAATAGCGGAGAAGAAATCCTGAGGCCACCGAACCAGACTCCCTCCTCCCCCTGGTTGCACCGAGAAATTCTGTTCATAAAAGTTATGAACAGAATTGATGATAATAAATAGCCCTAGCGGAGTTCAACTCCAATACTGAAGGGGTCCAACTTACAGCCAGCAATGTGAACCAAACTCTCGCACCGCTTGTATAGGGACCAAATGGCCAGTAGCAAAAGACCCCCAGTCCCATACTCCTGGAGCACCGTGTACCCAAGGAACACAGTTGAACGCCTCTCCAAGTTCACAAAACGTATGTAGACTGGATGTACAAACTCCCATGACCCCTTGAGGACCCTAGTGAGGGTAAAGTGCTGGTCCAGTGTTCCGTGACCAAGTTGGAACCTGCATTGTTCCTCCTGGATTCGTTTGATCCTCAATCAGACTCGCTTCTCCAGTACCCCTGAATAAACCTTACCAGGAAGGCTAAGGAGAGTGATGCCCCTATAAATGGAACACACCCATTTTGAAGAGGGGAACCACCACTCCAGTCTGCCAGTCTAGTGGAATTGCCCCTGATGTCCACACGATGTTGTAAAAGCATGTCAACCAAAACATTCCTGTAACATTCAGAACCTTGAGAAGTCAGGGCAGATCTCGTCCACCCCCGGAGCACTGCTGCTATGGAGCTTTTTAACTAACTCAGTGACCTCTGCCCTGGTTATAGACAGATCAACCCCGCAGTCCCCTTACTCAGCTTCCTCTAAGAAAGACATGCCAGTGGGATTAATAAAGTCCAAGAAAAATATTTCCACCTCCTGACAACATAACTGGTTGAGGTCAACAGCACCCTACCTTCGCTAACAACAGTGTTGGTAAAATGTTGCTTTCCCTGCCTCAGCCTCCTGATGGTTTGCCAGAAGCTCCCTCAGAGCCGATGGAAAGTCTCTATCCAAAACCTCACCAAACTCTTCTCACATCCAAGATTTTGCCTCAGCAATAGCTAGGCCTGCAGGCCACTGGGCTCACCGACGCTCCTCAACTGCCTCTGGAGTCCCCCCAGCCAACAAGTACTAATAGGACTCCTCCTTCAGATTGATGGCCTTCCAAACCCAAGATGTCCTCCACAGAGTTTGAGGATGGCCAACCCAAGAAGCACCAACAACCTTGTAGCCACAACTCAAGGCAGCCACCTCAACAATTGAGGTGCGGAACATGGCCCATTCTGACTCAATGTCCCCCATCTCAGCTAGATTACAGTTAAAGCTCTCCCGGAGGTGTGAGTTGAAGATCTTTCTGAGAGGTTCTTCTGCCAGGTGTTCCCAGCAAACATTCACTACACGTTTGGGGTTTCTGTGTCTGTTCGGCACGACACCTTCCCCCACCAAAGGATCCGACTAACTACCAGGTGGTGATCATTTGACAGCTCAGCTCCTCTCTTCACCCAAGTGTCCAAAACATATGGCTGCAAAGCAGATGACACAACTACGAATCCAATCATCAATCTGCACCCTAGGGCATCCTGGTGCCATATGCACTTATGGACACCCAAATGTTCAAACATGGTGTTTGTGATGGACAAACTGTGACTAGTACAGAAGTCCAACAACAGAACACCACTTGGGTCCAAGCAGAATGAAGGAGTCCCCAGCTGGAGCACCATCTAGCACCCCTGCTGAGGACTCGAAGAAGGCTGGATACTCTGGACTGCTGTTTGTCGCATAGGCACAAACAAATGTCAGAGCCCAGCACCAAGGCCCCTGCATTTGACTACCACCCATGGCACTATGCATCCTATCCTATCTGCAGGTGGTGCGCCCACAGGAAGGCAAACATATGTTGCTACTTTGGGCAAAGCTGGGCCCCATGGGTAGAGACTTGGTCACCAGGCAGGGCTTTAGTATGGGGCCCTGGTAACTTATGTCTGGGCAAGGGACATCAAGCTTCTTGATTTTTTTTTTGTCCATACAAGTACTCTGAGTCACTCTTTGTCTGGTCTGTCAACTAGGACCAATCTGCCTTGGGAGGTCCTATCAGATGCAATCACCATTGGCAGCATAGCTTCTAGGATCATTCAGGTGCACAAACTCAGTCACCATGGTAAAATGGCTATTCATAGAGGAGGAACCAATAATGTTATCAAAAGAGCCCAGCAGTTTGTAACAAGTATGTGATATGATGCTTTTTTTTATCAGTGACTTTACTGCCAGGAAACTATGACAGCTTGAGTTTCCCTGCAGTGTAATGATATGAAACATCATATAAACCCAGATAACACACACACACACACACACACACACAGCTCTATTCTCTCCAAGCAGTCAGTAAAGATAGGAATATCAATGATGAATGGACTCAAAGTGGATAAAGCGATGAGAATGATTATTCAGTTGTTTCTTTTACCATTCAACAATCTGAATGTAGATTTCACACCAAGTGAAACTTTCAACATTTGAACACATTAAATGTGAAGGTTTTAGTTCTGCTGTTAGGCTGTACATTCCTCACACAGATATTTCTTTGATGCTGGCTTTTCTTGAAAAACAGTTTCAGAGAGGAAATTGGTTTAAAAGATCAAAATGGGAGAATATTCATAAATCTGTTAATGCTGAGTGTAATGATATGAAACATCGCATAAACCCAGATAACACTCACACACACACACACACACACACACCCACTGTGTGTGCACCTTCTTGTCCACTTTGTGAAGGTGCTATTTATAGGACTGAGTTTTGTCACGTGGCCTCAGACTGATGAAGTCTTTCGGATGAAAGACAAAACATTTCAACGAAGAAGAATCTGTCCAGTTGACCTGACTTAACTTTTTTGGATTTATTTTTTTATTCTTTATTTAACATTTTACCAGGATAAAAACCCATTGAGATTAAACACCTCTTTTTCAATGGAGTCCTGGCCAAGAGGCAGCAACAAATACTAACGATTACACAGTTAAAAGAAAATGTCAAGCTATAAAAAACAGGTACATGTCGTTGAATTGGGCTCAAGAACTTTTAGTTTGGATGTAAAAGCACTGAATGAGATGAATTCAATCAGTCAGAGATTCTTGTAGCAAGTTCCAAGAAGAGAGAGCAGAATGAATGAAAGCCTTACCCAATTCAGTCCGAGCAAAAGGAACAGAAAGAATCAGCAAATCTGTGAGCAAAAAGTGTAAGAGTCAACATTTCTCACTGCAGTTGCATGGTAGGCCGGCAGGAGTCCAAGCAATGCCTTGTAAATAAAAGTTAATCATTGGGAGTCCCTTCGGGCAGCCAGACCAGGCCATCCCACCCGTGAGTATAAATCACAATGGTGTGTTGACATTTTTCAGTTTGTAATGAACCTCAGAGAAGAGAGGTAGACAGAGTCAAGCATCTTAAGACATTGTGAGGAAGCAATCATATACAAAAGATCTCGATAGTCCAACACAGACATAAAAGTTGCAGAGACAAGCCGCTTTTTAGCAGTAAATGAAAAAGACAACATTTCAAAAATTAAAGCCCAGCTTTAATTTGAGCCTTTTCACAAGACTTTCCATGTGTGAGGTTTGAAAGTGAGGGAATCATCAATCAAAATGCCCAAATGTTTATATGCGTGAACCAACTCTATTTCATTTCCACTGCAAGAGAACACAGAGGGGATCTTTTGTGGTCCTCTGGATCTGGAAAAGTACATCAATTTAGTTTTATCTGTATTAAGGGCACGTTTTAAATTTAATAAAGAGCATTGGATAGCAGCAAAGGTGGTCCCCTGGACTGGGATTTGAACCAGGGACCTGCTCACTGAGAGGCAGCAGCTCTACCAGTTGCACCACCGTGCTGCCCTAAATATAGCCTATTTTTGCTTTTTCAGCAACTTTTCTGCTAATTTCTGCTTTTTTGGCTACTTCAGATAACTTCAGCTGTATGTGTTATTTTTAGTTTATTTGTGCTTTATTCAGCTTGTTTCTACTTGACAGCAGACTTCCGTATGTTTCTGTTCATTTTTACTTTTTCGACTACTGCTATAGCTTCAAGCTCTTTTAATCTTTCGCTTTTTAGATTTTTCTGCATTTTAATATTTTTCTACTTTTCTTTGCAAATTGCAGGTCTTTGTGCTTTATTTAAAGTCTTTCAGTTTCAGCGCTGTCATTTTTAGACATACTGAGACAAAATAAGGTATTAGCCAAGGTTATATTACTTTTAATGTCTCAAATGCATCTTAAATTGAACTAAACTGTTAGAGTAGTTTATTTACATATCACCTTAAACAGATAAAAATTAAAACAGTACATTACAGCAACTTTATTGTTCCCTGAAACAAATGCAAAATTATCACGGAAAAATTATACAGACAAACTAATAAAAGTGTGTAAAGCTGTTCTTTGGAACAGGCTCAACACTGGTCAGGAAATGCTAAAGTTTCCGACAAAACCCAAATGCAACACAACTCTCTCGTCACCATGGCAACCGGACGCCATCTGGAAGGCGAACAACAGTTGATGTTGTTCGGGACCTTTGATGTTTTTTTCTCCACAGAAAGTTTTTCAACATCCCGACAGGCCCGCGCGCGCGCACAGGTGAGTCCAGCATGCCGCTGCACGTCACGGACTTCACCTGGACCCAGACGGACTCGGCGGTCCACGTCTGTGTTCCGTTAAAGGGAGCGAAGACCGGAAGTGTGGACGTGGTGTCAACAGACGAGTACCTGAAGGTAGGACAGGTGTTGTAACCTCCAACATCCGGGGATTTGCTCTCAGATAACTCAGGGCCTGGCGCTCCTTGAAAGAGTGCATATCGCCCGCCGCCTTTCAAGCTCTTGTGCTCGTGCACGTCACGTGAAGTCGCGCGATCTGTTGCCGTCCTTTTCGTGTGTTGGCCAAGATCAGCTGTGACGGCGACACTGGCACCGGCGGCCATCTTGAATCAGGCTGTAGGTCTTCATCCACTCTAGGTTTATCAAAATCCATTCAGATATTTTGCTAACAGGGCAATGATTGCACCAGAATGCCTTCCATGGTGACGGGTGACAATTAAACAGAAGTTATTGAGTCATTTCATGTGAATTTTTATTTTTTTATTTTTTTGTTTTACCTGAAGAGGGAACGTTGACCCTTTTAACTTCAAAACGTTCATGTTTTTTTTATTTTTTTTTTTTACAGTTTTTATGAAAATAAATACTTAAAGTTTGTTCCCTTCATTAGATCTGTCTCAGATTTTAACCCATCAATACGACGGTTAATCAACCTGCTGTTATCATCCAATGCTGAGCAAAGGCAGAAGCTGATGTTTTTACTGCTGTCTCTGTGCCTCCCTGTTAGCAAAATATCTCATGAACCTCTTACAGAATGCAACCAATAAATAAAAGCCTACAAATTTAATCCAATTCAAGATGGCCACCAAGACAAGTGGAAAACACAAAAATGACTAAATTTACTGATGATGAGCTTAAACTTGGCGTGGTAGTAGCTGAGAGTCATCCCCATCAGACACTCTGAGGGCGACGTCTCCTGTTCATATACGAGGATGACATGAAGGCAGCAGGCGACGCACTCCTTCGAGCCGTGTCAGGCTTTGATGTTTCAGCACCAAAGAAAACTCACCCATCAGTCCTCAATGATCTGTTGCCCTGACATCACGTAGGTCCTAGAGAGACTTCTGTTGGCCCACCTGAGTAAACAAAGCAGGACCCACTGCAGTTTTTGCTTATTTGCATGGACTGGGAGTTGAAGATGCCACCATACACCTGTTTCAGCAAACTCACTGGAAAAACTCATCTAAAGGCAGAGAGCACTGTGAGAGTCATGTTCTTTGATTCCTCCGGTGCATTTAACACAATCCAGCCTGATCTGCTTTATCAGAAGCTCCAGAAGACTCAGGTGGAGGCCTCAACAATCGCCTGGATCAAAGACTACCTGACAAACAGTTTGTGAGACTGAAGGGTTGTGTGTCTAACCAGGTGGTCAGTAGCTCAGGAGCACCACAGGGGACTGTACTCTCGCCATTCCTTTTCGTACACCTCAGATTTCCAGTATAAAACAGACTCCTGTCATCTGCAGAAATATTCTGATGACTCTGCAGTGGTCGGGTGTATCAGAGATGGACAAGAAGCTGACAGGGAACTGGTGGACCTCTTTGTGGCATGGTGTGGAAACAATCATCTCATCTTGAATTTGAACAAAACAAAAGGAGATGATTGTAGATTTCAGGAGAAACAGGAACAGGTCCAACACTATTTCCATCATGGGAGAAGTGGAGGGGGGGGAGAAGTATAAATACCTTGGAGTTCACCTGGACAACAGACTGGACTGGAGATGCAACAGTGAAGCGTCTACAAGAAGAGACAGAGCAGACTGTACTTCTTGAGGAAGCTGAAGTCCTTCAGCGTTTGCAGCAAGATGCTGCATATCTTCTATAAGTCTGTTGTAGAGAGCGCTGTCTCTTCTGTCATCATCTGCTGGGGGAGCAGCACCAGAGCAAGTGACTTCAAAAAGATCAACAAGCTCATAAGGCTGGCTCAGTTCTCTAGAACCTTTGGAGATGATTGTTCAAAGAAGGATTCTTCATAAAGTGAAGAACATTATCGACAACCCGCAGCATCCTCTTCATCGACTGTCACATAACAACAGAGCATCTTCAGTCAAAGGCTTCTTCAGATCCGCTGTAAGACGGACGAGAACCGTCCTGCCCACAGCATCAGCATCTAGAACAACTCTTTAATGAAACCAGGATGATGAGTTACAACAACATTTAATTTCCCTCTGGGATTAATAAAGTTTTTTTGAATTGAATTTTGAATTGAATTGAATTTGAATTCTGTTCTTTGAGGCCCGTTGTTCTGCTGGTTCTTAAAGTGCTACGTGTTGTCATCATCGTATGTTCCCATACAAAGATGAAATTAGTTCTCTGCATTGGGAGACACCCAGGTGGAGCAGTGGGCAGCTATGTAAGCTGCCCGGGGAGCAATTCGGGATTAGGTGTCCTGCTCAGAGACACCACAAGATGTGCAATGATAGGGAATCGAACCCAGAAGGTCCCAAGTCGGCTACCCTGCCCCTGCACCATCTCGGCCCACCTTGCTATGGTTGGTTCTGGTCTTTGAGGCCCGCTGTTCTGCGTGCAGGTCCACTTCCCTCCGTTCCTCTTCGAGGCCTTCTGGTTCCGGCCGGTCGTCGACGAGCGAAGCTCAGCAAAGATCTCAGACGGAGTCGCCGTCTTCACCTTACCGAAGAGAAGCCAGCAGGTCTGGGAGCGCCTGATGAGAAACACAGGTCAGAACCTCCAGGTACCGAGTCTGGCCGGGTCCGGTTCTGGTTCTGATGTGGGCTCTGTGGAGTTTTAGAACACTGAAGAAGTTTTCGTGTTTCAGACGATAAAGAAACGAGGAGGACGATCAGAGAAAGAGCTCTGAAGGAGCAGCAGCTGAAAGTTTCTGCAGAGAACAAGCGGAGAGCAGAGAACCTCCAAGCAGAGAGGAGGTTCGCTGTGGAGGCCACGATGAAGGTACCTGCTCCTTCTCCTGCTCACCCTGCTGCTTCTCCAGCTCCTGCTGCTCCTCCTGTTCCTGCTGCTCCTGCTTCTTCTCCTGCTCCTCCTGCTGCTTCTCCAGCTCCTGCTCCTCCTGCTGCTCCTGCTCCTCATGCCATGCCCCTCTTCCTGTTGCTCTTTGTCCTCCTCCTCCTCCTTCTGCTGTTCCTCCTCCTGCTGCTTCTCCTGCTCTTCATGCCCCTCCTCCTGTTGCTCTTTGTCCACCTCCTCATGCTCCTTCTACTGTTCCTCCTCCTGCTGCTCCTCCTGCTCCTCCTCCTCTTCAGAACCACTAAAAATGTTCTTAATCAGCTTGAAAATGAGGAAAGGGACCAAATCCAGAAGATGAAGGACGCAGAGCGGGAGAGAACGACAGTGGAGCTGGCAGCCTGGCAGAACCATCTGAACCAAGCCAGAACCAGAACAACGGGACCAGAACCTGAACCCACCAGTCCTGGGAGGAACCAGCTGGGTGAGTGAGCTCCTGATGGTCAAACGTTCCTCCTGCAGTCAGTTTTAATCAGCACGTTCCTGCGTGAAGTTGACAGAGACGCAGAGAAGAAGAAAAACTGGGTCGAGGTTCCTCCTCTGAGGCCCGGCAGAACCATTGGGGTCACCTTCACCCCCCGAGACTTCCCAACGGCGCTCAGAGAGTCCCGAGTCCCGGAGGAGGAGGAGGTGAGTCCAAGAGTATCTTCTGGATATTTACTGCTCAAAGATGCTGCTACAGAGAGAACAAACAGCTAAAATCAGCTAAACATCTGACACCAACACAAAATCAGCTAAAAGCTGGAACCAACAAAACATTGGCTAAAAGCTGAAACCAGTAAAACATCAGCTACAAGCTGAAACCAGCAAAACATCAGCTAAAGCGGAAACCAACAAAACATCAGCTAAAAGCTAAAACCAGCTAAATATGAGCTAAAAATGTAAACCAGCAAAACATCAGCTAAACCGGAAACCAATAAAACATCAACTAAATGCTAAAACTAACTAAACGTGAGCTAAAATCTTAAACCAGCAAAACATCAGCTAAAGCAGAAACCAATAAAACATCAGCTAAAAGCTAAAACCAGCTAAACGTGAGCTAAAATTTTAAACCAGCAAAGCATTAGATAAAAACTCAAACCAGCAAAACATCATCTAAAAGCTGAAACCAGAGAACAGCAAGCTTAAAGCTACATTAGCTACTGAAACAGGAAGACACCAGCATTTCTGGATGGAATGCATATCGCCCACGACCTGTCCTGTCAGAGTTAAACTCAGATTGTGTGCGATCTGTTAGTGCTCAGATTTTGGGTTATGAATGACTCTCAGCTACTACCACAACAAACTTTAGTTTAGTGTCTGTGACACTGGTTGAGTTGTAGCCGTTTCTATGACTCTAAGGTCAGTTAGCTGTGGCGGCCATCTTGAATCAGGTTGGTTCCAAAGGATAAGTTGTAGATGTACTGTTTGTCCAATAATTACTTTTCTGAAAGTTTCATTAAATCTGTCCAGTGGCTCACAATATATTTTGCTAACAGACACACAGGGTTGAATCTGACTCAAGCTTTATTGGGTGTGAGTTAAAACCAAAGTAAAATAAAAATCCTATAGCAGCTGTTTGATACAGGTAATCAGAAGATAAACACCGTCAACGGTTCATGTTCAGAAGATTTATCCGTTTGTTTGAAAAGTTAGTTTTAGTTCCTCGTCCGGAGACGATCAACTGAGACATGTCGAGTTATTTTGTGTCCATCAGTGGTTGAGGAAACAAGCCGAAGCCCGACGAGGGGTCGGCTCCGACCTGACGGAGCTGAAGGACCTGACGGAGGAGGAGAAGAACCCTGACTGGCTGAAGGAGCGAGGCGAGTGAGTGACCCCGGCTCAGACTGTCGGCTCTGACTCTGCGGGACGTCCTCTGATCCACTGTCTTCCTGCAGTAAGTGTTTCCGGAGCGGGGACCATCTGGGAGCTCTGAACGCCTACAGCCTGGCCCTGAGGCTCAACAACAAGCTCCCCGCTCTGTACTCCAACAGGGCCGCCGTCCACCTGAAGCTCAGGAACCTCCACAAGGCCATCGAGGACTGCTCTCAGGTCTGAGGAACCCCCTCCTCTGGTGTCCCAGGACACGTCCACACCTCTGAGTTTGGACAGGACATGTTTATTCACTGAAGACACTTAAAACCAGTCCAAACTCAAACCAGGTCATAGTTTATAGGAGTTTAAGGTTTGATAGATGATTTTTAGTTTAGTGATTAAAAACCTTTGAAGAAACTTGAGGTTGTTGAGGTTTAATGAAGCGATTTGAACTTTTCTATGAGAATGATCCATTTATTCAGGTTATATTGAACCTCTCAGCTCTCAGTTTACTCACAGAGTTTAGTGTCACATCAGACCTTTGGTTTCTGTAGAACTGCTCTGAAATCAGTCCTGGTGTGTGTCTCCAGGCGTTGGACCTGTTGTCTCCGGTCGTCGGTGCCAACGCTGCAGCCAGACTTCGAGCCAGTGTCCGGCGAGGATCTGCCTTCTGCCAGCTGCAGCTCTACGCCGAAGGTTTGGTGTTTTTACAACGTTCTTCTGGTAGAAAGAACATAAGAGCAGCTCTGTGTTTGCCATCATGGAGACTGAGCAGGAGGACAGGTGGACAGGTGAGTCCACTGATCTACCTGTGGCTGTCTTTCAGGGCTACAAGACTACGAAGCTGCTCTGAAGATTGACCCTCATAACGAGGCGCTGCAGGAGGACGCCCAGAGAATCAGAGACATCATCCAGGGTTCTGCAGCTGGACAGACAGAAAGATGGACATGAGACATGATGAGACACAGACAATCAGAGACATCATCCAGGGTTCTGCAGCCAGAGAGACAGAGACATGATGGACATGAGACATAATGTGACACAGAGAATCAGCTACATCATCCAGGGTTCTGCAGACAGACAGACAAGATGGACATGAGAC